CCGACGTCTGAATTGATGATCTGCAATGTCCGGAAGCGTAGTTCGCGATCCCTATAGAGCGCTTCCGACCGGTTGATTCAAAAAGCATCTAACCCGTGGTTTTGATGCAACCGCGCAAGCATATACCCTTGTACGTCATGGGGTGACGCCTAGCGACATTTTCGCGCAATTTGTAGCCGTGGCAATGGCACATTGTAAAACTGGTGGGCTACACTGTCCGACCGGGAGAATAGATCGTTCGGTAGGATCTCATTTAGCTTGCTGTCAAGCTGCGCTCATCCTTCACTGTTTGAGAGATCATCTGCTGAAAGATTCGGAGGTTTGCTGAGAAAATTATATGCGCATTGATTAACAAAACAGATAGAAAATTGAGCATCTATAAAATGGATTAATATGTCGGTCTAATTATTCTACGGTGTCTTCTATATTCCCAGTCTACCGTTCAGCTGACCGAATTCATGTAGAAGTCTGGTGGCCTAACGGTATGTAAAAGCAGTGCCAACAGCTCAAAAGCACTACTCTTTCTAAGCACGTTAATTTCACTCCAGCTCAGAATGTGCGTGTTGCCTACGTATATATGAAGCTGGCGCGCGATGTGAAGGCGGCTTGGCGCATTGCAGGCACTTTGCAACTCGCTCGGACGCCCTTAACCCATTCGTGACAATGTCAGCCACCGGTGGCTGACAAAGCTCTCACTCGGGACAATGGCATTACTGTGGCTGCAGGGCTTGAAATGGAATTTGGAAAGTTTTCTTCCATGAAAAGAATCTTCATACCCTCGCTCATCTACGCCAGCCCTGGGCAGAGGAAATCTCCCTCCACTCGAATTTTATTGAAGAAAAATCTCCTGACGCTGCTGCTATTGCGCAATCCTGCGCGGTCGCGAATGGGTTAAAACTTGGTTATGAGTGTAACTTCGTTCCGCAGGGCGAATAGGGTGATGCAGCCTTGAAAGGCGACTTCACCCTATAATGCAATTTTTGATGCAGTACCCGAAGTACGCTCCACACCTCGGCCCCTTAGTTTGACCTGCGGAGGTAGTTCAGCTTTCGAAACAGCACATTTTCTGCCTCTGTATGCTTTCGCCTCTACAGTGTCTGAGGACTTTTATGTGCCAACTTAACTTTTGCTGCACGATGAGTAGCTTATCGTTTTTTCTTCCCCCCATTAGATTTGCCGCCTTCTTCTCTCCTCCCTTTTCGCATCGTTTGGAGCACTTCCGCAGGTGCAAAATTCCAGTAAGAAAAATGGTCCGTACATATTCCCCTGCAGTTTTATTTCATGGCGGGAGCATGGTAAAATCCAAATGTTCGCATATTTCACTCGACGCATTGAATTCATTGACTAGCTTGTACCTAAGCTTGCCTAAAATATGTCGCAGCTGTCAGTCAGTAACTGGCGAGGATTTCAATACTGATGGCAATCTCGACAACTTCTGTGCCTTGTTCAAGGATGGGACATTGCTTTGCAGGTATTTTATTTCTCAGTCAATGGTTTGGGTTCTGGTTCTATGATCTGCTAGAGGCTGAATGGCAGTTAGCACGAATCCGTCGGAAAAATTTTTGGTGCAATAAGTACGGAAAAAAATCCCAGGCTTGCAAATAGCCTACAGCCGGGTGTCGTCAAGAAGATCAACTCGTCAGGCATGGCCTTTTCAAACAGATGGAGAAACATAGCCTTTTTCCTGGCATTCGCGGAGAAACACGTTGCAAAATCTGAGCTGTTCCAGGTGCTTCATTATTTTACTGAAGATGGGGAGTTTAGCATGTGAATTTACCTTTTTTATTTGTGCGCGCATGATTTTTTGCCGTACAAAACAGCCAAACAAATTGTTGTTATGAAGGTCATGATAATGGCTCTAGCGTTTTTTAGACTGTTGACTTGTACGAAGCGCAGGATCCAAATGCGGTGTTGATCTGTTTATCTTCGCTCGCGAGGAAAAGCGAAAAGTTATTTGGAAAACCCGGTCTCGGGCCGAAGGTTTGTTATCGTTCTTCTTTTAGCCAGCTGAGGTTTCGAAAGCGAAATTATGTAATTACCGTGTAAGGGCAGGGGACTTAACGACATGGAATTCTCGCAAGGTCAACATGAAAAATTTTTGTTTGAATCAGCGGGGATGGTTTACTAGGTTCACCGCTGCTCATCAGCGGGCCTAGCGATCAGAGGCTCCCGCAGCGAAAAATGTATCGCGCTGAGAAACGCGGAAAAGTCGCTCTCTGTCCCAGTGACCACACCCGAGTCGGCAGCTCAATAGTGTAATCTTAGTAATTATTTTTAAGGAAGCTGAAGGAGAGAAGAGGTCTTGGACAGAAGAACAGCTGAAGGCAGGACAAAATGTGATTGGTCTGCAAATGGGCAGCAACAAAGGAGCAACGGCTAGCGGCATCAATTTTGGCAACACTCGACATATGTAAATTTCGCTTTCCTCTCTTTTTTGTTCACGTTTTATTCTGCTATGTGACGAGAATTTTATTTCCATTCCTATGAATTCGCTTGATCATATCGTTGTGTCTGCTATACACGTTCCATTGCTTGAGTAATAGTTGAGAGTTTTGGCGACACAGGTCTCTTTGTGCTTCACTCAGTCAAATCTTGATTCGGGCGATTGCTTGATGTTGATTTTTCATCTTTTTAAGATCCCGGTTTTTATGCATTCTTTCTTCAATGCATAACATGTTATGTGGTGCAAAGTGACATAGTACTAAACTTGAGTCTTACCTTAGGAAGGCTAAGCAGGATCTCAGGTCACCCATTCACTTGAAATAAACATGGCGTAGTTACTGCTACAAGAACGCATGTCTATCACCTTCTCAGGAAATGGGATGTACCTGTGTGACCGGTGTAGAAGTGCATGTGATAGGCTTCAAAGACTGCCTAACTTTCCAGGTTATTGTTTTGTGCTGTGAAGTTTTATGTTTCATCCCTTAAATATAAATATTTACTCTTGTAAAGTGTTAATAAGTGTATGATAACGCAAAGTGGTCAAAAATGTTCACATATCTGTAAATCAAGGTTTGCATGTTTATTAACGATTTACATTAAGCTGTACAAACATAACTGTGACACTAGACGTTATGGCAATGGACTAGTAAAGCATGCACATGTTTAAAATATTCACTGAGATCATGTATGAAAGAATAGCATTTAAGTTGTACAAACTATGCTAACAATGAGAAGATTCTAGCAGCACTCATTTTAAGTAAATAAATAGGTAACGATAGCAATGCCAGTTATTGTATAGAAAAGTAACGAAAAAGCTCTCGTGTTAGCTATTGATTAATCATAGGGTGGAGTTTTTTGGACCGGTTGTCATGAGAAATTAATACCTTGAAAAGGTTTTTGTTGTTGATTTTTATCGCTCAATATGTTGCTTATTGATTTCATTGGCTGATTTACAGTTCCATTGTTGCCTTGCCTTTATATCTGTTCAAGAAAATGCCTGGGTCTGTGGGGGAACCAACAGGAGGCACTTCGCGCGGCGAAAAGGCAGAGACGCAGACGGGTCAGCGGACGAGTCGCAGCGCGAGCTAAAGCTCATTGTATCTAACTTGACGCGAAATCACGGCTACTCGTCCGCTGACTCGTCTGCGCGTCATTTCTCAGTCACAATCAGTGACGTTCATAATCGAATTCCCTTTCCTTTTTTGACTGAATGATATCGAGGTCCCGGCTCAGAACTTTCACTTATAGCGTTGGATGGGAAATATTATTGGTCATCCGACAAGGATACTATTGATGTGGTGAGTGACAAAAATTGCTTGCATGAAGCTCGAGGTAAAAACGGCTAAATGATTCCGGTGACTAGAGCCTTACGGAAGAGCTTTTTCCGGAAGGGTCCAGCTTTAGTTTCAAGTTTGAGAGCTTTACCAAGTCTGCTACTGCATCTACATGAAGAATAAGCTACTGGGAGCTGTGCAGCCTCGCTCTTACTGAATATAGTCAAGGCATGTTTAAGGAGGTAGAAAGCTGATGTTTTCGACTAGATTGCACTAAACTACAGATGAGAACCAAAAGTGAAAAAAAGCTGAGCATCAGAGATATATACAATTATTCAAGGGAAGAACTCCTGCTCTGGATTTTTGTTCTATAGACGTGAATTTCGTCTGCAGCGGGAGGGTTTCCGTGTGGCGATTCAGGTAACTTCGTAGAGCAAAGCGGCGACCACATTTCTTGCATGAGTACTTTTTCTCGCCTGAAATGGAAGTTTATGTGTGTAGCGCAATTGAAACGCACACAGATACTCTCCTTGTTTCACATTTATGAATGCCCAAATGATTTTTTTCATTTTCCTAGATTGGATTTGAGCAGCTGGTGTGCCGCTTGACTATTGTGCAGTGGCGCTGGCGCTCAATGGTAGGCGTTATGGTGCGTCTGCGCTCTCCGGGATAATGAGATTTCCAGCGGCAAGTCTAAGACTGTGATGTCTAGCCAGGTGAGGCGACTTTGGGAGATAATGTCATTATAGGAGACATCGAAATTAGTGAATCACTTGCAAATTCTGGGACAAAGCTTCAGGGAGGGGAAGAGATCATGGGAATGAGGACGTGAACACCTTCGCCCTCAATTTCTCCCCTCTTGTGAGCTTAGTCTTAGTGTCACCTACCACTGGTTTTCGGATGCCATCTAAGGACTTAAGCGCCATTATTGTCAAAAAGTCGTTTGTTAAGCCGAAAAGAAATCTGAAGGCAATCATATTCAATTCTTTGCGCAGTGATCGCAAAAGTGTCACCAAACTTCGAGTCCTACAACCCATGACATCTTTCCTGGGTCAGGCCAAAAGTTTTCTAGGGCTTGGCAGATTGCTTCCCTTTCCACTCGTGGCTGATTCATCTCATCCTCATCAAAAAAGTACTGTGTATGAAAGTGTTAGCAAAGTTTTTTTCGAGCGCTATCAACGCCCTTATTTTGATCCTTATCGGGCGCTCAAGGCGTCCTGAGGATGCTGGGTCGAGGGAAGTTTGTAAACAGGCCAGATGGTAAGGTGCCTAGAACTGAGCCCAGGGAAAGCCAGGAAGAACAAATGGCTGGCATCTTCACCAGATTCTCTCTCCGCTGAGGCTTATCATGTGTCTCAGGAAGTTTTCCCCATCCCTCGATTGCGCATGACACAAGCGGTCCGCTAGATGCTGATATAATGAATGCCCTCCCGAACGCACTTGTGCAATTGTGCGACAGCGGTTAACGGGTGGTACCTTAGAGAGACAATTTTGATGAGAGGGGTAGGAGATATGGTGGGGAATTTGATTTTTGTTTGGGGTGGCGCGGGGAGGTTGGGCGGCTGATGTGGGCCTCAGACATCAACGCTTCTTTCCAATACACCCTCCCAGTGGAAAGCGAGGCGAGGTAGCTTAACAACGCCTGCGGCGCCAGGCAAGGTAGAGAGCCTTGTTATGTGTGTGTGTGGAGGCGTGGTGTGTTGGGGTGAACCCTTACCTCTGTGTGCGGATGTTTCAGGACGGAATAATTTTTCTCTCACTTCACTCCCTTCGGGTTTCTACTTAGTTCCCTGCGTGTTTACTTACCTGATTAGTGATGTGATCACTATAGAGTTAGCAAAGCCAATTTGGGCTTTTTAGGGCGACCGAATATGAATTCATGAACTGGAATAGCTTGTGTCGACGATGAGTTATGTAAATCTAGATCGACGCGGTTAGGCGGGGAGTTACTGGCGGGCTGGTGAACATGGTGTTGCTGGCAATCATCGTCCCTCTTTCGGTAGTTTTTAGCCGACTGTTAGGATTAAGGGTGCGAGATGCGGCGAGAATGTGTGTATGACGCCTTGCATTATTCCATGCCTCTAGTTAGGATATGGGTTTCAAGTTTTTGGGAGGAATATAGTCGAGTCCTGTGGGAATGCGGGTATTCGCCCTTGCATTTTGAGACATTGCCAAACAGTAGCTTTGAAGGACACTTCCGTGCGAGGTCAGGGTTCTCAATCGGTAGACATGAGTCCCTAGTAAACTACGAACTCAGTTCAATGGTACCCATTACAAACTGATGGAGTTTTAAAATTGTAGATGGATGCTCTGAAGATGTCCGATCTTGCGAGTTCTTTCACAACCTTGTGGCCATCCGAATGGGCTGTTAGACAGTATGCAGACGGAGGTGCCCTTGAAATATCTATTTTTTTGCTTTACTTGCAGAGAATTCAACCGAATTTCAAAGTTTTGTTCACAACGAATTATCTAAGCCAAATCTGTATACAAACAAATAAATAAGTTATGGGATGCTCTCATAATGAAGGTTAAGTGTTAGTTAAGTGTACCTGATTAATTATAAGCAGGTTATGAATTTCGTTTCTATTTGTATATTTATTTGTTATTTGTTTAGTTAGCCTCACTTCCCCCCGCCCTCCAACCCACAATTTCTAATCTCAAAGGTAGAGTTTACGAAGAAGGTAGCACGTTGGAACTAAGGTTGAGCTGATCAGTAGTGCCGGGATGAAGGAAATCACAGAAACGCGGATCGAGAAAATGGTCCCTTCATTGTTCGAGTGGTAGCCAATCAGGGGGCGTGCCGCGTCGATAGTGGCGCGGGAATGGTAGGTAGACCGCTGGGGGCATATCCTTCGCTGCAAATTGTGTGCTAGTCCGCACCCTCAGAGGGTATGCTCTATTTCCACTGGGTGAATTCTCTTCTTCAACTTTCAACCTTATCATAGAATCCTGAAAGCGAGAGGGCATCCGCGGAAGTATCTGCTTGGGATGCGCCACGCATTCTACGCCATTGAGATCTTTTGAAGTATGTTTGACGCAACTCGGCCTATACATTGTCTTGTGGGAGCCCAGCCAATGTAAAAGTCTGTTTTATTCTCTTGGACATATTTGATGCCAGATGACTGACCATAGAGGGATGGAAGGCTTGATTAGCTTGAACAAGATGAGATCCGAGATCTCGGCCGTGTGCGTTGTAAGTATTTCAGCTTCCGTTCCACTACTTCCACTCTATGTGTGAGTTTAACTGGCAATCAACGACCGCGTCAGATCGAAGACCTGCCGAAAAAACTAGGACTCCAGGGTAATATTCGTTTTTACAGCTGTGGCGCTAACCATAAACAATAAGGAAGCAATTTTGTCTTCGGAGATGCAAGTTAATAAATTTAACATTTACATTTGACTGACTCAGTCTCATTACAGAATTCTATTAGTAGTCTTGTTCAGTGGTCTGAAGATTGGCAGATCCCTCTCTCCTCGACCAAAACTTTTCACATGCGTATAGGTGCTTCTTCTGCCATCTCTTCTTCATACTTTATAAAGAACCAAGAGATTCGTAAAGTTGAAAAGGTTAAGGACTTAGGTTATTTATATAACAACAAACTTGATTTCTGTGATCACTACAAGGAAATTCACAAAAAAGCATTTCGTCGTACATACCAAATTTTCAAGGCCCTTACAACAAACGATAGTAAGGTCCTTATTCGAGTATACAAGACTTATGTACGGCCGTTGGTAGAGAATGGAACAGTTGTTTTTTGTCCTCATAAGAAGAAAGATATGGCTCTCATTGAGAAGGTCCAAAATAACTTCACCAGAAAGGTACTTTTGCGGCGTGGTGGTTTTTTGTATGCTAGAGTACCAAATGCTGTGATAAGAAATAAATTTTTTCATCTTCCTTCCTTGCATTCCAGACGTGACCTTTTTGATTTGTGCATGTTACACAGACTTCTTTGTTATCGAACCCTTATCAACTTTACTAACTTTTACGACCTCATTCCATCCAGAACCAGGGGTGGAGATTTCAAGTTATCCTTCCATAGGCCTAAAACCAACCTTAGGCGGAATTTTTTCACTATTAGAGCTGGGCTGTCGTATTTGCGTATTACCAAATCTATACCCATCCAAAGCTCTTGTGCATCCTTCAAACGTGCTGCAGCAAAGCAAATACTACATGCATAGATGTGTAGTGTCTAGGGTCTAATCGTTTCGCCTTAGGTATTCTGTTGTTACATTTTACTACAGTGGTTGTTTTATATACTTATATTTGTTTTCTCACGCTGTCTTACATAGCGTAATGAATAAATAAATAAATAAATTTGCCATTTAACGAGTCGAAAGTATAGTGTAAAAAGTATTTAAATCAGTAAATAAACTAATATAAGTAATAAATAAATATAAAAATAAAATATAAATAATAGCCTAGTAATAGGACAATATACGTGAGAGGTCGGAGAAATCATACCTGCAATAACCACAAAGTCGTGAAAATACTTTGCCGCACATATTGCACTTATGGTTGGCCTTGTGTGTCAGAATGTGCATGCTGTAATAGATCTTCTTTAAACTTCTATGCAGGCGGTCCCTTATTGGATCAACACCTTAAAGGCAGTGGGTACAATAAAGTGTGTTGCGCCAGGGAACTGTATGCATTAGTGGAGGCGGTAGCTAAGCGACAATGGAAGAAAGCTGCGGTAGTTCCACTCCCAAAATGTGCGCTAGTTCTAACGCAGTAAGGCACCGAACCTAGACTGAGGTGGTGACCGCCCCGCCTCGAGCGTGGTCGAATTGCACATGCGAAATCGCTATCATCGCTTGGTTCCTTTTGGAACTGCCTGTCACAGACCGTTTGCTGCATTCGGTGTCGTCTTCCTGACGTTTATCAGATCCATCAACCAAACAACAATACCCTCAAGTCGTTAACGTCCAAAATTATATTTCAGGGATAAGGTCGCAATTGCGGGTTTAGGTCCTTTTTCTGATATCTTCTATAATCGTACGTTGCACCTCTTTATATTATGTAGCCCTATCAATTCCGTTAATCGTTGCTTCACCTCCATCAATCCAAATTTCAGGGATTAGCGGATCCCACGTGTTTTTTCAAGACTCATCTTTACTGGTTCAACTCGAGGCCCTCTGATACGTCAAGCATATTTGCCGGGCTCAGGACTTTCGCGGTTACGCTATATGTAGAAAAGTTTCTTTGAAGTGCCCTATCCGTTGTACCACTGGCCAGCATAGTATCGTTCGGAATACTCCCCGAATGTTCATGAGCGTCGATATCTTGAACGTTTTATTTCATAATTAGCCTGGGACGACTTTTCGACCTTTTCGTCTTCCTTCTGGGTCAGATGCTTTTGAACTGTTAAGCTACCGACGAAAGGTCGAAGATATCAGGTCCACTAATAAATGGTTCTACTATTAATATTTTCTGTCCTTATTACTGATATATTACGATCGCGAAGATTTCAAAGACGATTCTTTTCAAACTGTTTCTTGCTTTTTGGAACTTTTGAATTTTTGGAATTTTTGGATTTTGTGAATTTTGGAATTCTTTTGAAATAAAATTTTGGTGCCTCTCTGTGTTATACATAAAAGGTTCTACTTACCATCTCGGCGTGGCATGGAGAAAATTAAACAATATTCACCATGTAATGCGAGAGTATTTTCAGAGGAGCACTGGAAGTCTTTTCTCCATGTCTTTATTAACCTGTGTGTTTGCAACAGTCGGCCCGTCAAGCAGTTCTCGCTATGTCACCGCTGCTTAGCTTTATAATAACTTGAGTTGTTATTATTAGTGAAAACATAACGCCCCAGAATGGTGAACTCATCAAAACGTCTCGTTCGTTTTTCCTGAACGCAAACAGTGCTTGAATTGTCTTCTTTGATTGGGAATTCTCAGGCTAATTAGGTGGCCCAAATATGAATGTCCGTATGAGCAGCTGCCATTCAGAGCCGTTACGCAACAGGCTATCCCATTACATGACCTTTCAGGTACATATGAACAGTTCCCGTGTGCTTAGGATTGGACTGTTCTCTTAACCACCAGTTTAAAATTTAATATGTGAAAAATCTGGCATCTGTTTGAAGGGATCTATAATGACTCCATTCGAGTCCTAATACAGGCCGTCTTTGGAGACTTTCTTCTCTCGTTGGCAATTCCTGAACAGCTGGTCCATTTTGTACCTCAATGAGGAGTGAATAAATTCTGTTGTAGGTTAAGAATTTTATGCGAGGCGGTGTCGACACGGTAGTGGCGCCTTATTACAGAATCAAAGATAAAAGGTTACAGGGGCGTAGCAGGTCAAAGGCAGCGATTACGATAATTCGATGGTGGTCAAATATGAAAGAGAAGTGCCAAATGGTTCGGCAGCGAAAAAAACTAGAAGGAATGATAAAAATCCGGCAAAGGGATCCCTCACTCTGCCCGATTTTGGACGAGTTTGCGGCTTGAATGCTGACCATTCGATGCGAGCGCACCGACAGAATGAAAGAAAAGATAAAATTAAGATAGATCATTGCTGTCAAATGCACCTTCAAATTTGACATCGAACGCCAGAGAGAACAATATCACAAACTTCAATAACCTCGCTCGGGGCGGGTTTGGTTCCAAGTGGGCGGGTCGGGTGAGGTTCGGATCCTTATTATGTAGCATTAGCGCACCTTTCGCCGCTAAAACTCCACACCTTGTTTGCTTAGCCGCCTGGCTAACCCTTCCGATGGTGAATATACTTCCCTGGTGCCAGCGCATTTTGTCGTACCCACTGCCTTTAATATTTTTTTCCAAAATAATAGCGGTCAGCTCACCTCAACGCCGGCATACTGACATAGACTCGATCACAATGTGGGCATTGCTTCGCGTGTTCACTGTCCAACGGCCGATGTGTCTGGAAGATGGATAAGATGAAATGAATCTCTTTAGCAAAAGCGAATAAATCTTACTCGTTTAAATGGCAGAGGAGCCAGATATGCAATTGACCTCATGTATATCGTCACAGGTCGTAGACTTTGATCGCAGCATAGGAATAATTTAGAGCTTAGTTATACCGAATGCTGGATGGTTTTCGATGGTTTTATTACCCAGGTTACTACACAACCAACTACTTGGTGTGCCTCACTAAACCTTGTTATTTAAAGGAGATCCACGATTCAAAGGGAAATGGTCCTCAGAGAGCGAAATTAGGAAGAATTCACCTGGTTGAGGGACCCGCGGAGCTCCTAAGTGTGCGAACTGAAGCACAATTTGCACAGGAGGAGTTGACCTCGTTGACCTATTAAGGTTTAATCCCGCCGCGGCTGGTCAGTGCACGCCCACCGATCATCTGATCACTCGCCGCAGGTCTATACGTGGTGAGTGATTAGATAGGTGAGAGAGCGTAGCGTTGAAGAGGGCACAGCGATGATAGTCGCATCAATGCTCAAATCAACGGGCAAGGAAGTGGTCCCATTTCTCAGGTTCTGGGCCGTTTCGCATGGTTTTTCCTTCTTTAGTGTACCACTCACCATCGCTAACTTAATTTGAAATGGGTTGCCTTTCCAGCGTGAATTCGTCCTTTAAGTAAATTCTTCTTATTAGCTGTATGTTCACCATTTTCTTTCAGGACAGCTGAGGTAGGAATATTCATTAATCATACCTGTTTATGTCTGCTGAGGTTACTAGTAGTTGCGTAGGACTTGCCGCACTGATCGCAGACACTACGCGATGAAGAAAATCTGAAATAGCAGGAGGGTTGTTTAGGAAAATTTTGGAAATTATGTCGCATACAGGTTTGGTTGCGAGTTCATGAACAGATGTCCCGTCATGGGTGTATTCTCAGTGAATGCCTTCAAATGTCATGGCAGCTTTGCCTCTAAATTTATTTTTAAAGGAGTCTGGATTCTGGAGATAATGAAAAAATCATCTAGTTTCTTTATTATTTCAACTGTACATATCTACGTTCACTCGACGGGCTTCCGGGGAAGTGGAACGCATGAAGTTAGCAGGTAATTAGCTGGCAAGTAGTCACAGGAGCACGCAGTACGGAGGAAGCGAAGGACCCCGTACAGACCGTATTTAACTGTGGGAAAGGAGAGGGTCCCGATGTTCAAACTTCTTCCAACGCAACGCTTGAAGTTTTGGCGCTGAGTTGGACGTTCGTCGTAGCTTTATTTCTTCGTTTCGAGAAGCGGCAAATTCATGAAGACACGGGGTTTTTCTAGTTCTTCTTCTTTTCACCAGAGGAACCTCCCGCTCGTTTTGTTCCTACTATCAAGGCAAGTAGAAAGCTCAATGACCTAAAATAGACATACTTTCGTTCTCGCTTTGTTCTTCCATCAGACACCTCAAGGGCATCAAGGGTGTACGCCGTCACGTCCGATTCTGGCGAATTGGATGTCTGCAAAAATAAAATGTTTGAGTTACTTCAAAGAACAACGAAAATGGCTTTCTACCGTGCAGACTCATTTTTATTCATCATACATAACACATATGAAATCATTAACGTCTAAAGTTTCACTCCACATATTATCGTAAACTTCAACTCTTCGAAAAAATTCTCGAGTTAGGATGCCATTTTTGGAAAGCACCTCTAAGAACAAGTCTAGAATGTCATCTAGGAAGATCATTTGAAGGCATATCCTGCGGCTCCAGCGCCTCTTCTCCTTAACGTTTCCTGCGATAAGCTAGGAATAACAACCGAAAATCCCAAAGTCCACTATCGGAGTAGCACCTCTTTGCATCAGTTGCAATGACCACATGTAACATAAAACATTTTTTTAGCGTTGTACAAAAAACTGGTACTTGGGATTATTCCTATTGTTCGAAAAATTGGGTTGTTCTTCTTAGCGACCCGCCAGAAATGCTACGGCAAGGAAGCGTTTGAATAAGATCTAAAGAGTAAGCCCTGAGGTAAAGTAGGCCTTTGAGATTGATGATCTCTTCCAAATAATAGCTCATTAATGAGTCTCCTCCAAAAAAAGGTAGCTGGCTTGAAACAAGTAGTTTCAATTTTCGTAACGGTCAAATATATTTTTCCACAAAGTATTCTGTGTGGTGCAGGATCTGCAAGCGACAACTTATATGCTGCCACTGGTTGGACATTCGATGGCTGTTTCATGTTGCTTATGGAGTGAGAGCGATTGTTTCCTTTACCTGCTTCTCGTCGCTTTCCGGCCGCAGCAGGTTGTCGATCGAAAACGAACATTGCGAACGCTGGAACAAAAGTACATAGTTATTTGTTGAACAGTAGAATTTGCGTAGCAGGCATATATCAAGTAAAGTAATTAAGTAAAAGAGAAGAACTGGTTTACAATGCTGCCCTCGAATCCTGAAAACCCACAAATTCGAGTACTCAATAGGAGCTTCTATTTGATGAAGTCGTAGATTATGTCCACTTTCCATATATTAAAACTTAATGGCGTGACAGAGGAGGAGGAGCATCAGAGGAGAACGATGGGGGTCGTTGGGTAAACTGACTTATATACACACCCAGTCCCATGCATCCGGGGGCAAATGAGGATGCCACTTCAAAAAGGACTTATGGTTAGAGCCGGAGTTGAATTGCGTGGCCCAAGGCTGTAGTTGGGACTTCCTGCGTGAGTTCGATCTCATCCTGATCGTCACTCGGTTGTCGGCGGCTTCAAACTGGGAAAGAATATTTCTTATGCTCTCAAATCACCCTTGTAAAGGGTACCGGTTTACTCTTATTCCTCTAACTGATCCACTCCTCCACTGCCTGGCTCAACTTCTTCCTGCCGGCCGTCCTTTCAATCTCCAACTACCTAAACCACTCTTATCTCCCCTACATTCCTCCCAAAATTTTTAGCAGGCCATGAAATTTTGCACACGAGTCTGCAAGAGTATTTGGGAAAGTTATTTCAACAGAAAATGAATCGAAACCCTACGTCCAAAAACAGTTGCCGTATTTGGTCCCACTGCCAAAAAAATTAAAGTACTACACTTTCGTCCGAATCTTTTCCCAAAGTAACCCAGGGGGAGGGTGAATATTCAGTCATGGGAGGAGATTTTCCTGTGGACAAGGTGGGCTGATAGCTGCACACCATACCCAGCCACCGCACTATTTACCTTGAAGCGGGGTTTATTCATTTGCTTGTTTATTAACCTATTTATTTATTTATTTGCTTATTACTCCCTTTCATTTTGATTTATTTGACACGCTCAAATACGCCCCTCAGCGGGATAAGATGTACTCAAAAACTGTGCAGTAAGCATACCAAGTCTAGAGAAAGTAAAAAAGACCATAAGATTGCCTACAAAAGGAACATAAAAGGGAAGTGGAGCAAAGACGGATAGTGAAGGATTCATACCAGCGTCTTTTATAGAACCTAATTTCGGGTATTGATCCACCTAAAAATATCTAGGGAACCAGCCATTTGCAGCTTTTCACCGTAGAAGCTTTTCGAATATGAATGTTTATATCCTAAGAATTAGTCGAGCAACCGCGAGGAGCCCAAAGAAGAGGTAGACATGATCACAAAGGACCTAAGTGAAGTCATGGCCACAGCAGAAGATGCCCTGGACAGATTAAAGTGGCGACGACTGACAAAAGACAGCGGACCCTGCGACTGCGCGGGACTAACGCTATCAGGAAGAAGACGATCCAAAGAATTAGTAGAAAGGTGTTCATTGAGAAGAAAAGCTGGAGCGACGTCCTGGGAATCAAAGAGACATGTAGAAAAAAATAGAAATAGAACAATCGCTCAAAATAAAGGATTTGTAACTGGAAAAATTGGAAAAATAAACGGTTCCGGAGGAATTGAGGAAGTAGAGGAAAAACAACTCCTAAAAACAACTCTATCGCTCTTACACGAACAGTGTTGATGGTGTTGGTTCGAACGGCAAATATCGACACAACAGAATTTTGTTCTTGAATCTTCCTCAAAACACCAACCTGTTCATCAAAGTTTTCATCCTTTCCTTGTTCCAATCGAGGTAGTGAGTTGAAAAAGTGCTGCAGTTGACTGCTCATCAACGCATTGAAGAACTGAGGGTTGAACGGAGCCGGGACTTCTGAAGAAATCGCATACGGTATTTTGACGTTGTTAGGAGATCTGCAGTTGCGGTCAGGACTGTTCACCGGAACGGTTTCTAGTGCATTACTTTTCTTCTCACAAAAAAGAACTTAAGGTTGGTCTGGGTCGACCATCCCTCTCAGTTCTCCTCTTCAGGTCAGCTCACCTAAAATAAGACACCACTCAATGGCTCGAAATGAGCCTAGAACAAGTCTAGACCCATTCATAGGCTCAAGCATAAGCCAATGTGTAAGCATAAGCCTAGGCCTAAGCTTAA